ATGAAGTAAAAACAAAAACAAAAACCACCACAAGCGTTTTAGTGTGCAAGCCCGGCCGCCAGTGAGATCACTTCTTTTACTCTTGTGTTCCTGACGATTAAACCCAGGGCCTAACAAATGCAAGGCAGGTGCAGCAGTCACACCACCTTTAAGAAATCACCCTAAGGAAATAACTGCTGATGTGAGCAATGCATATTCAAAAGAAAAGATTATTTACCTTAGCTGTGAATTATGAGAAGCTGAAAACACTGCACAGTGGAACATTTAAAGTGAAGCGGAATCGTTAATGCTATGAAAAATGTTCACTGGAGAAAAAACTCAATCATCCCATTTTTGGTCTTAAAAAAGAAAGATATCCATGTTGATGGAGAGTATCATGTTAAAGTGAAATGAGTCAGAAAGAGAGGGACAGACATAGAAAGATTGCACTCCTTTGCAGAATATAAAGTAACAGAATGGGAGAGTGACTCCCAAAAATAGTAGAGATCAGTACCAGGAGGATTGCCCCCCGGGGCTTGGAAGCCGGCCTCACATGCTGGGGGAAAAGGCAGCTCAGATAGAGAAGGGACCACCAAGTAAAGGGTGCTAGGGGGACCCATTCGGGATGGGAGATGCGGGCTGAAAGTAGACTATAGACCAAACACGATGGCCACTTGATACCTCTACTGCAAACCACAACACCCAAAAAGAGAGAGAGCAAAAGGGAATGCCCTGCCACAGAGGCGGGGTGGGGGTGGTGGAAGGGATGCTGGGAGCATTGGTGGTGGAAAATGGGCACTGGTGGAAGGATGGGCACTCGATCACCGTATAACTGAAATGCAAGCACGAAAGCTGTAAGTCTGTAACTGTACCACCTCACAGTGTTTCACTAATTAAAAAAAAAAAAAAATCCATGTAGAGCCAGGGAGAGCACAGGGTTGGTTTCCCAGAGCATCACAGGAGGTGGCCTGGGAAGATGCTTGCGCGGCTGAGGTAAGAGCCAAAAGTGGCCCCAGGGCCCTGAGCAATTCTTGGGGGGCCAAAACAAAAAACATAATACCCACCAGAAAAAGAAAATATATACATTATTAGAAACTGAACTACGGGATATCCACGTGAGATATTTTGTGGGTGGGTATGGTGGGTCTTTTTCAGTCTTGATGTTGTTGGGGGACGATGCGGAGTTGGGGAGATAATTCTAACACAGAACCAATTCTATAACACAGGAAAAAGGGGCAAAACTAAAAATATAGTGTGAATTTCATGAACAGACAAAGAACAAATTTCTATGTTTGTTTTTGGGTCATACCCAGCGGAGCTCAGGGCAGCTTACTCCTGGTGGGCTCAGGGGGCATTTGGGTGCCAGGGATAGAACCTGGGTCAGTCATGCACAAGGCAAACACCCTAACCACTGTTCTATCACTCCAGCCTCCATACAACCGATGTCTAAAGTGCAATGGTGTGAGAAGTATCCAATGCCATACGTAAGTGAAAATCAACATCCCAGTTAATGTCATAGACGAAAGGGCCAAGTTAGACTCTTGGCCTTTCACGCACATGATCCTGTCCAGTCCCAGGAACTAACTCTGGCTGGTTTCCCAAGCAGGCCACCTACCAGCACTGCTCCGTGTGGCCCCAAATAAGCCCCCTCCCCCCATGTCCCTTAAAATTGCTGTGAAATCCCACCTGGAACCATGGTGCCCAGAAATCATGTCCAAATAAACACAGACCGTGTCCATTTGTAAAGGCTTAGTAACTACAGACAGGTAAGGCACCAGCTATTGATCCACAAACGCAGAGCCAGATGTTCGAAGAGAGCCATTGCCGGTGTTCTTCTAGAGGCAAGCACACTGAAGCGCGAAAAGGTGGCCCCAAACAAACACTACGGTCTTCGGTTCCCTCAGTTCCCGCCAGATACTTGTCTTCAGACACAAAAGACTGGCTGCTTGGGAAACACCGCCAGTGCCCAGGGCTCTGAGGTAGACCAGACAGACCTGGGCTGCAATTGCTAGCTCTACAATTTTTCAGGGGAGTCATCCTGCAAATACCAATTCCCTTACCTGTACAGTTACAGTATCACCAACTGTTTCTTCTAAGTTAAGAGTACAGGGTGCAATCAGAAGGGAAATCTTCAATTAGAATAAGTAAAAGCTTCCCAAGTCCAATCTTTCAGCACAATGAATGAACCAAAGGCAAAGGAGCAGAAGCCCTGGACTCCGGGGGCTGCCCCGAGTGGCCACTTCACAGGCCCAGTGATGGCTCAGTTCATACACAGGGTCCTAGCCAGGGGAACTGCAAACCCTTCCCACCTACTCTGAATATTCCATGCATTCTATTTATAGTTTGACTTCTCAATGCAAATGTTAGTTTGCTCTACAAGGAGACACATTCTCAACCCTAAAAATGTCTTTTATTATTATCAGGCTCTGATCAGTCTTCCAGTTTTTAAGACTAAACTAGCAGTTCTAATACGTTCAAGTCCCCTTAAGTAATTCAAATTCAAACTGCTAAAAAGCAGCAAATCAGGGCTGGAATGATAGTACAGTGGATAGGGTGTTTGCCAGGCGCACAGCCGACCTGGGTTCTATTTCCAGCGTCCCATATAGTCCCCTGAGCACCGCTAGGAGTAATTCCTGAGTGCAGAGCCAGGAGTAACCCCTGTGCATCGCCGGATGTGACCCCTCCCCAAAATAAATGAATGAATAAATAAATAAAATGCAGCAAATCAGAATTAAAAACAAAACGAGCATGCAAACAAAAAACCGAATGACTAACTCTTCTTCCTCCAGATCTCCTAACTGGTAAACCACAACCTGACTTTGCAAAATGACGGTATTCAGGAGAACAATGAGTAGTCAGAATCAAGATGGGCTTCTATTACAAGACACTAATCAAGCAAATTCGACATTTCAGTAAACCTAAAAGGAAGTTTGTGAAATAAAAAAGGCAAAATTACCAAGAAAAACTGGAAATAAGTATAAAATAAAAAAAAGGAAAAATCTCCAAAGAACAGGTAAGCAGGGAGGTTCATTCACATCTATTTTTTGGAGTCAAAGTGGTGCACAATTAACTATTTTACTAATTAAACTCCTTGCATACGTCTTTTGCTTTTATGCAAATATGAAAACAGTTAAGAATACAAGTAACTCTGTTACTCCTTCTAATAAAGGAGTAGCAGAGTTAACTCAAAGTATGTAACAATGTATTTTGCTTTGGCTTTAGCAATAAAAGCATAGAGCCAGTCAGCCCAACACGGCTGAGTGCGTACAAAATAGGATTTGCATACAAGAGATGCCTGGGTTCGATCCCAGGCCGTCATATGGCCTCCACATACCACAGGGAGCAACCGCTGAGCACAGGGCCTGAGTAGCACCCCAAACACTGCTGGGGTGGCCTACAAAACAAAAAGAAAAAAAGCAAGCATGTGGTCTTAAGAGATAATCCAAAGTAATGAATATCTTGTGTTCAAAATAAAGTCTATGGTCACCCATGTAGCTTTACCTCCCAAATTATAGGGATGATTCAAGCTACTGTGAAGATGAAGTTAAGATTAAGTTCAACCAGGGCAGATGACCTCTAAATAATAGTGAAAAAAATAATGACCTTCCCACTTCAGTGGAAAATATGTTTACACACACCCCCCTCCACAGGAAATAACAAAACTAAGGCACACACATACACAACGCTTCAAATACCCAGAGCATCTTAGAACCAGCTTAGCTCCTTGCTGTTCCCACGAACACAGTCTGGAATTAAAATCTGGTTTTTGAATAACCCACACATGGAATAATCAAAAAGCAAAGGCACAGACAGATATATTAAAATCGACATTTAAATGTCTTGGCTAGTGCAAACTTTACAAATGAGACTTTTTTTTTAACGACAGCTGGTAGAAATGCAGCAAAAAGTGAGGTCATCTACCATCTCGGTTCTAGGCCCAGTAACGATTTTTGTGATCTCGATAGAGTAGGGAGGACCACACACAAGCACACACGAGATCTGGCAGAAACACTGGCTTAAGCCACCAAGTACTATCAAGTAAAAGGAAAGCACAGAACACAATGCATTTAAAAACAACTGGTCCGAGGGGGGGTGGGGGAGGGATAAAGATTTTCTACGACGTTCCACCGCGAAAAAAAAAAGGTCCAAGAGAAAAGTTCTCCGGGCTGGGCCTCCTGGGCAGAGAGATGCCCTCTACCGGGCGTTCACCCGGCCAACTTTTGGGTTTCCCACAATAGCGCCAAGCGCATCCTGCTTTGAAAACCCGGGGGCCGCACGGCGCCCAGGCCACCAAACCTGAAAGCCCCCCGACCCCAGCTCCCGAGTGAGCCGGTCACACTAGGGCCCCTTCCCCGGCACGGCTGAAGCCCCGCGCTCCAAGCCACGTGCTAGCCGGGGCTGGAGGGCTGGAGGGCGCGCGACGCGGCAGCTGCAACCCGCGCTCGCTGCACACCCCCGCGCCCCGCGACGCAGAGGCGGGCGATGCGCCCCTGCAGGCAGCCAGGCAAGTCGCGGGCCTCGGGGAGGGCAAAAAGCTCTGGGGACCCCCCGTTTGGAGGATGAAAGGATCTCCGGGGCGGGCTGGGAACACGCACTCGGGGAATGCCCCGACGGCCTCCCGCGCGGGCGCGGGCAGGGAGGTGTTTAGGGCGAGTCCCCCACCTCGGGGAGCCAGTGCCCCCTTTCTCTGGGGGAGGGAGATGCACCGCACACAGGGTCTCGCTCCTCCTCCCGACCGCGCCACCAGCCGGCCATCCCCCCCCCTTCCCCCCGCCCCGTTCTGCACTTGGCAGCGGGGTGCGGCCCGCGCCGGCCGCGGCAAGGCCATGTGGCTGCAGCCGCCGCGGGGCTGGGGGGCGAGGGCGCGGGGTCTTCCCCACACCCCCGGGCACGTCCGGGACGTTGGAGGCCAAGAGAGTGGAGGCGGCCACGCGGGAGGGGGACAAGGGAGAGAAATGCAAAAAAATATATGTATATATTAAAATACAAAAGCACGGGGACGGTGGGGGTGCGAGACTCACTTCCTTTGGGCTTTGTCCTTCTTGGCCTTGGTCCTCTTCTTGCGGGCCTGGAGCGCGAGCACTGCGGGAGAGAAGGAGGGATGAACGGCGTGCCTGGAGGAGAGGCGGTGCAGCCCGAGCAGCGGCGCCAGGCCCAGCGCCGGGACCAGCCGGCGGTGCGGCTCCGGGCCCGGCGCCGCGGCACGGACCGGGGGTCCGGCGGCCCAGCGGGCGCAGGGCGGCGCGAAGGCGGGATGCGCCGGAAGGGGCGCGGGCCGGGGCCCGGGGCACACGGAAGGGGGCCGGCGCCGCCCGCCCGCGGCCAGGCCCAGGAGCCGCCCCGACGCGCCGCTCGGCCGGGCCGGGAACGAGGGGCGATGACTGCCCGTGCGGAAGGACGCCCGGGCCGAGGGGCGAGGAGCGGCGGCGGCGGCGGCGGCGGCCCCGGGGCGGGGGCGGAGGGGCGGCGGCGCCACCTCAGTACTGGGGGCGCTGCACGCCCGGCGAGCGGACCGCAGCGGCTGGGCAATGCTCCCGGCGCAGACCCCCCGCCCCCCGGTCCTCGCCCGGCGGCCGTTGCCCCTCGTGGCGGAGGCCGCTCCACCGCTCACCTTTCCGCTCCATGGCGAGACCGGTAACCGCCCGGCGCCTGCGCACTCGAGTGCCGGGGGTGGGGTGGGGGGGAGGAAAAAACTCCGGCTCCCGCCGCGGCCCCAAATCAAGCCCGCGCACGCCCCGCCCCCCCCCGGCCCGGGCCCGCCCCCGCCACGGCGCGCGCCTGCGCAGTGAGCGCGGGACGTACCACCTGCTCCCCTCGCCCCGGAGGAGAGAGGGGCGCGATGCAGAACGGGGGGCGCCGGGGGAGCGCGAGAGGAAAGAACGCGAGCATGCCCGGGGGGCGCGCTCGGGCGCCGTGGGAGACCCGCGCTTGGAAGTTCGGGCAGGTCGGCTCTGTTCCATGTGCCGGGTCGGTGCATCCCAGGAAAGGCGAGGAGACACCCCCCTCTCCCCCCGCAGCGTGCTGAGGCCGAACGCGGCCGCCCGCGGGGGTAGCGCTCAGTCTCCCTGTCTGTGAAATGGTTTTTTTGTATCAGGCGTGTTCCTGCGCCCATCCCCCGAAAGGGTTTAGTGAGAAGATAAACTTGGGTGGGGGAGGGGAAGAAGAAAATTTTTTAAAAGTGGGGAAGGGATGGACAGATTGCAAGTGAGAAAAAAAAAGAAGAGAAGCGGTTGCAACGCAAAAACCCGACTGGATAGAAAGTACCTCTTGGGGCTGGAGCAATAGAACAGCGAGTAGGCCTTGCACGCGGCCAACCTGGGTTCTAGTCCCAGCATCCCATGTGGTCCCCTGAGCACCGCCAGGGGTAATTCCTGAATGCAGAGCCAGGAGTCACCTCTGAGCTTCGCCAGGTGTGACCCCCCCAAAAAAAAGCAAAAATAAATAAATAAACGGAAACTTAGAAGTGAATTTTTCACTTGCTGAGCATTTCCAGTTTCAAGCTATAAAGGAAGGAGAATAATAAAACCACGCAGTGCTTTATCGTTTTATCATATTATCATCTTTTCACGACGTCGTAAACATAGTTGGTTTTTATTTATGGGAAGTTTTTTATACTTTTCCAAGTGTATTCGCTCCTTTGATATTTATGACCATTTAAAGGAAAGATAGTTATTATCGCCAGTATAAAAAGAAATGTAAAACTCGGTGGGTGTGGCCCTGTACTCGATGGATACCTGGCATCCTGGTGATGCAAACCCAGTGAGGCAAAGACATTCAACTCTCCTTGGAGAGCAGAATTAATGTCGTTTTGGGTAAACATTAATGCTAAAAATCACTGAAGCTCAAAAACTGTCATAGGGAATAGAAGTTGTCTTTTGTCTACGGACCCTAAAATTGGTATTTCATATAATTTTTATGTATCAGAAAAGAGTCTGGGGCTGGAGAGATAGCACAGTGGTTAAGGCGTTTGCCTTGCACGCAGCAGACCCGGGTCCGATTCCCAGCATCCCATATGGTCCCCCGAGCACTGCCAGGACAAATTCCTGAATGCAGAGCCAGGAGTTTCCCCTGTGCATCGCAGGGTGTGACCCAAAAAGAGAGGGGGGAAAAAAGTCATCTGTTGGTCACTTTTTCAGCCATTCTTAACGCAGACCTTAGTTTACCAACTCAGTTGTAAAATACTACAGCCGGACGGGGTAAAAAGCTGCAAAAACAAGTTAGACTCTAGTGGGCAAACTAGACAAGTAATTATCTGGAAAGAGATCTAAAGGTTTGGAGCAATAGAGCAGCCAATAGGGTCACTGTCACTGTCCTTCCGTTCATCAATTTGCTCCGGGCCCAGTAATGTCTCCATTGGAGACTTTGTTGCTACTGTGTTTGGCAAATCGAATACATCACAGGGACCTTGCCAGGCTCTGCCTTGCGGGCGAGATACTCTCGGTAGCTTGCCAGGCTCTCCGAGAGGGGCGGAGGAATCGAACTCCGGTCGGCCATGTTGGCCACTTGTAAGGCAAACGCCCTATCGCTGTGCTGTCACTCCAGCCCAGCCAATAGGGTACTTGCCTTGAAATGCATGTGGCTGACCTTGGGTCAATACTTGGCACCCCATATGGCCACCAAGTCCCTCCAGGAGTAATTACAAAGCCAGAGTAAGCCCTGTATATATATATATATATATATACACACATATATATATAATATTATTAGGCCAATAATATATATTATTAGGCCAATATCTCTATAGTAGTATTGTAAGTATCAACTATGGGGGCTTGGGCAGAATTTACTGAGCAAAGTTAGTGATTAAATCATGCCAGAGAGGATGAAGTTTTTGAGTCCCATCTTGGGAAATCTCTCCATAGGTGGAGAAGGAGTTGCTAGGCATTCCTGAATGACAACATGGATTGAGCAAAAAAGCACAGATTTAGAAATTTCTGGGCGGGGGCGGGGGCTGGGGATGGTAATGACCAAAGTAGAATGTGAAGCTGGAAAGGTCGGTTTGCCAGATTTGAAATTTAGATCATTAAGAACTCGCACGGAACCTGAATGATAGCATTTCTGGGCACATTGCAAAAGATGCCAGCACCTGTTGACCAAGGAAAACTGCAACCTGGTTTCCGCCTCACTCTCTGCCAGAGGCCAAGAGGAGCTTGAAGCCGACTACAGACACGTTCTGCTAGCTCAGGAAAACTACCTATAGTTTTAAAAATGCAGGAGAGGCTTGCAGCTCAAGCCTGTGTTCTCTCTTGAACACATATCTCGAGTGCCTCTCTCTCTCTCTCTCTCTCTCTCTCTCTCTCTTTCTCTCTGTGTGTGTTTCTGTGGTTGCTTGTTCCCACTTTGGAGAAACGTGTGTTCTCTCTTGAACACATTTCCTCTCTTTCTTTCCTCTCACATTTTTCTAAGCAAGTTGTGTTCAACAAAAACTACCTTGCTGGGGCTGGAGCAATAGCACTGGCCGCCTTGCACGCGGCCAACCCAAGTTCTATTCCCAGCATCCCATATCGTCCCCCAAGCACTGCCAGGAGTAATTTCTGAGTGTATGAGCCAGGAGTAGCCTCTGTGCAACACGGGGTGTGACCCAAAAAGCATAAAAACAAAAAACTACCTTGTTTCACTGAATAAATAAAATACAGAAAAGGGGCTGAAGAGATAGTACAGTGGGTAAGGTACTTGCCTTGCATGCAGCTAACACAGGACTGATCCCTACTATCACATACTGTTCCTTGAGCATGGTCAGGAGTAAGCTCTGTGCACAGCCAGGTGTGGCCCCCAAGCAAAGCAAAATAGAAGAGGTGCCGAAGAGAAATTTTAGTGGGTAAGGCACTTGCCTTGCGCGTAGTCAATCTCCAGGTCAGATCCCTGGCATCTCATATGGGTTCCTGCCTCCCTTAGCATTGTCAGGAGTAATTCCTGAGTTCAGAGCCAGGAGTAACTCCTGAAAATTACCAGCTGGGGGGCCCAAGAACCAAAACCAAAATAAACAATTTAAAAAAAGGGGGGGGGGCTGGAGCAATAGCACTGCAGGTAGGGCATTTGCCTTGCACGCAGCCGACCTGCGTGCATCCCAGCATCCCACATGGTCCCCCAAACACTGCCAGGAGTAATTGCTGAGTGCATGAACCAGGAGTAACTTCTGTGCATCGCTGGGTGTGACCCAAAAAGAAAAAAAATAACCAGAATAGGAAAGCACCAATGGCTGAGATAAAGTTCTAGAATTGGCAAAGTACTTGCCACCACAAATGACACTTTTCACCAGAGAGGAAACGGAATTTTCCTCAGCAGCAAAAACATCCTGCAGTGGCTAAAACATTTGTCTGTTCAAAGAATAAATGGGGGCTGGAGAGCTAGTACGAGGGTTAGGGCACTTGGCCAGTGTGCTGCAGATCTGCTTCAACTCACAAGTCCCCCCACACACACCCCCGACCCCTCCTAACACAGAGACCCTGAGTAACCCTCACAGTGGCCCAATACCAACCTCCCGGCAAGTGATGAAGAAGGACTGGATGAGAGAGAGAACACAGAAGCCACCACAAGAGAACTATGGTAAAACCCAAGTGGTTTCTACAGCTTCATGGACAGGATGTTAAGTTTCAATTGGCATGAGTCGGTCACACCTATTTTTATTTATTTATTTTTGCTTTTTGGGTCACACCCGGTGATGCACAGGGTTTACTCCTGGCTCTGCGCTCAGGAATCAACCCTGGCGGTGCTCAGGGGACCATATGGGACGCTGGGAATCGAACCTGGGTTGGCCGCGTGCAAGGCAAATGCCCTACCTGCTGTGCTATTGCTCCAGCCCTGGTCACACCTATTTTGACTCTCAGTGCTTATTGCCTCTCTCAGAGCTTACAAGCCATCTGTTTAATAACTCACTCGAGAGTTTCTCCTCCCAGTGTCAAGTTCACTAGACTGTGTTCACAGGATTAACCAGACCTTCTTTTTCCCTTAGCATTGTCAGGAGTAATTCCTGAGTTCAGAGCCAGAAAAATTTCAAAGGCTTTTTTTTTTTTTTAAATCCTTCTCTCGCATGCTTAGATTTTCCACACTTCTTTCTAAGATCTTTATAATTCTTCATATGAGCTAGTTTGTTTTCTAGCTGTATTCTAAAGCCTATACCTTTGTCTGTGACATCTCACTTTAAATGTAACTTTTATTTTATTATTATTATTATTATTATTATTATTTATAGTCTCTGAGTCTTGGCCGCTGATGGGATTACACGGCGCCAGGGGGCCAGGTGGTGGGTGTGACCCCCGCCTACTGGAATTTGGAGGATCTGGGTGGAAGATGCTCGACTCCAATTCGAGTAGGCTTGGAGGTCTCGGCCCCGGAACCCGCGTGGCTTTGTCCCTCTGCCAGTACCTTCAGGTGTGCGGAGAGTGGTCTCAGCATGGTGGTGGCTGGTCCTGGAGGTCTTCGGCTGCCGTAGCCCTGGTCGGGGCGGGGAGGAAAGCTCAACCCGCTCCCCTCCAAGGGACTCCGGGAAGGAACACCCAGGCGCGGGGGCAGAGACTGCACTGTTCTCGTCCGGGATCTGGATTTTATAGTCTCTGAGTCTTGGCCGCTGATGGGATTACACGGCGCCAGGGGGCCAGGTGGTGGGTGTGACCCCCGCCTACTG